AAATGGCTTGTTTTCATAGCTGCATTCATCCAGATGAGAATTCTCATTTAGGCAGCACGAGTTCAAAGCCTGTTTTTTGTCTTCACTGCAGACATAGGACAGTATAGGGGCTGTGCCATGAAAGAAAGCGCACGTGTTAAAAGTTTACTCAAAACACGCTGTCTGCCCTGGTTTGAGAGCACCAGGATAAAAGTTTTCTGGGGCTCCTGGACCATGCAGCAGTTGTGCCTATGGGAAGGAGAAGATGGGTCAGGTGACCCAAACTGACCAATCATGGTGTTCCTTCCCATGGTGCTCAGTATGAAAGAGCCCCTATGAAGACCTCTGGGATGTTCAGTACCTGCTCTGGTGGGAGGGTTACCTTGGCTGTTTGTCATCTCTCCCCGTGCTGCTGGTGTTCCTGCCTCCTGTTTCCAAGCTGCTGAGGAGCACCATTCATCGGGACAGGTTATTTTCCCCTGCCTCTCTGGCTGCTAGGGGCACAGCTCCTTTTCTTCTGTGTTTTTTTTTTTGTTTTGTTTTGGGTTTTTTGTTTTGTTTTGTTTTTTTGTTGGGTTTTTTTTTTACTATCCTTGGGACTCTGGGCTTGGGTGCTCCTGTCTGCTGCCAAGTCCAGAGTGGGACCTTTTTTTGATTGTTTCCCCCCCTATTCAGAACCTTGTTATCATACAGAAGGCACAGTTTCTGTATTAACATATTCTCTTGTATCTTTGAATACATTTGCATGCTTGTATAGTATCTGTATATAGTTTAACAGCTTCATCTTTATTCTGAGGGTTCTTTTGTTTTTCATTGTACTGATTCAAGTTTTTTTTGCAACTCAAAGTCTTTCTCCCTGGTCACTCTCCCCTGGTGGTGGTGGGATCACAGAGACCATCTGTCACTTTAGTGGTTGTTGCAGCCTTAAACTTAAACACTGCCTTGTCCCTTGTAAGTGAATAAGGACAGATTAAGTACTTACTGCAAATTACATAGGTGATATGTTTTATTTCCAAAAGAGAAATAGGACTTAACTTTCAAAGGTATTTAAATGTTTTGTAGAATTTTCAAATATTTCACAGCAAGGCAAAAGCAGAAATCCAACTGAAAATTATGTGAGGCAAGTGTTCATTTTGTTTAGTCTCTTTATCACTGATCTATATCCTCAGGAGACTACATCCCTTTGAAAGCTCAGGTAGCAGCCTCTGTCCCACTGAAAGTTAGTGGGATTCAGCTTTCTGACAGATAGCCTTCACCTGTTTTCTACAGTCAGACACTAGGGTTCTCAGTCAGTCTTTCTAGGCATCCAACCTGGACTTTGCATGACTAAATATCTTTATAAGCATAACTGTTATTGGCCAAGTCATTTCTGAAAACCAAGAAGTTTACAGTGCCTAAATCTCTGTATAATTGACTTAGAAATTTCATAGACTCAGAATCCCCGCCTGGCAATAATAATTTCCAGAGGTTACATACCATATCACCAGAATTAAAAAAACAGACTTGTACTTCTACTAGTCCTTTTTTTTTTTTTTTTATTATGCAACGTTTCTTGGGAGACAAAAGAAAACCCAAAGATACACACACCACCTCTAAACAATTCTCTGATACTCTCAGGTTTTCCATTAAAATAAATCTTGACTTTTTAAATATAAAAAAGTATTATCCCTTACATTTACTGAAAAACTTTACCTAGAATGATAGCTGAAAGAATAGACTCCCCTATTTAAAGAGCAATTTTAATAAAAATAGCAGAAATGGTTTATAATAGAAGGGAAAATGGTCTAATTTGAACTGTGGAAAATGAAAGCAGTTTTAATGCTAGAAGATTTTTTTTTTTTACAGTTGAATTTATTTTTTTAAAAAAAGGTTTTAATTGCTTTTAACTGTTACTGAAGTAAATGAGATTATACGGTCACTAAAGAACACATTATATGAAAAAAAGTTGGGGTATAGGGTAGCTTGTATAGTATCTTTTGGCTACCTTTTACTAAAAATATTGACATCCTCATTTAGAAGATAGGATTTTAAACACCATACATATGTGTTCATTTGTCCAGCCCTGCAGCATATAAAGATTCACATCTCTTTACATCCGTAGGTATAGATGCATGTGCTTCTGTATTCTCATGCATGCATTTATGTATGTGCAGGTTTGGATTTTTTTTGTTTGTTTTGTTTTATAGATCCACACCAATGTAGTTAAGTTTTCAAGGAGCTTTCCCAGCTTGGACTCTATTAAATGAGGCCAAGGGAAAATGAACAAATGCACAACTTACTCTTTTGCCAGGTCCTGGCTTGCCCATGGAGTGCCACTACATCTGCTCTCTGGCTCAGGACTGAGCCACTCAGCTGTATCTGAAATGTTTGCAGCAACACTAACATCTACATTTGGTGGTGGGGAACTTGATATTCCTTGAGAAAGCCCAGCATCTTACAGAATCGGGCCTTAAGATGACTGAAAGTAACTTGGTCACTTGAGAAACAAGACGACTGGTTCATTGCCCAGTTTCCCTTTTCCAGCTACTCTGCTTGAGCTGCTCTGCACTTTATTGTTGTACTTGGTAATAATGTTATTCCTGGAAACTAACATGTAGGAAAGCAGAAGGATTATTTGTATCTGTTAGCTTGGCTAGAGAAAAATACGCCCCTGTGGGCTTTCCCCTCCTTCCTACTGCATTCTTCATAAAGCAAACGAAGTACATTAGTACTTCAGAGACATCTCATACAAAGGCCATTTCATTTGAGGTGATTAAAACATGGGCAGAGGAGCCCATGTGTTCACTCGTGCCTCCCCTCCTGCCACACTAAACAAAGCAGCTTTCCTTGCAGGGGGAGAGGAAAGGAAAGAAAGGAGAAAAGAGAATTGCTTTGCCAGTATTTCACTGCAAAAGATAAAGCAATGTAAAGGGAACACAGCTAATGAGTCCATCGTTACACATCTCATCATGCAGAAACACTCTCAAGTAATCACAGATCATGCAAACAGCCAGCATGAGGCAAAAGGGCTGTTGTCAACTACAGTTGAGGAAGAATTGCACTTACACTAATTTTGATATAAATGGCCTTATAAAATTGATCAGAGTTCTAGCTATTGTCTGATCTCACATATTCTTCTTTCTGTGAGAGCAATATCATTCCAAGATTGCTTTCTCTTCACCAAATGCTACTTCTCTTAAAGTCTTCCAAAAGAAGTGGTGAAGCACCATATGCAAACTGTCATTTATTCTTCCTTTTTTGTCCCCTCCTTCCATCAAAAAAATAACCAGCTACCTATTTTACGATGCACTGCCTGGAAAAACAGCACGTGTTGCATGTGTAACCTCACCTCTACTTTGCTATGGTTTATTACCTCATACTATGAGTCTTTGATTTTAATCTGTTAAAAGGATCTCCATGCAGAAACTCCAGGATGACTGCAGAAGGGTATAGGGGGAAAAGAGATTCAGCTGCACAATTAACTGTCTTGAGTTAATTCTTATCAACAGCACTGCAGTAAATAATTATTTTTTTTTTTTTTCTTAACTGTGGGATTGATTCAACTCCTGTCAGAAACTTTCAAGTCTGACAGGAAATTCTGCATACTCTTGAGAAGCTCTGTCAAGGCAATATGTCACACAGACACAAGCAGGATGCAGAAAGCCTCCCTTGGTTCAGCTTCTCCACTTCTTACCATTAGAATGACTGTGACTGAAATTTTTTCAGCCTCACACTGAGACCAAGCAGCATAAGTGAAATGGACAGGATTTGAGTCTTCAGTATTGTTCCCAATCAGGAAAGGACAGAAGACTTTAGAAAAACCAGAGAGAAAATTAATATGAAAAAGAATATTTGTGATCCTTTTAAAGTCATTTCCCTAATTTTCTTCCTTGTATACAGGGTTGATTAAATATTTAACCTTTTTAGACACAAAATCAGACCTCTCTCTATTTAGCTTTGGAGAGCATGCTCCAATTTCTACAAACAGGAAACACCAATCAATCTTTCATGCAGTTTTGGCATTTTCTTTTGAGCAATTGGAATTTTTAAAAATTTTTTTGGAAGAATCAGCAGAAGGTGTGCCTTATGTTTAACTATTTTTGTTTTTTCTTGTCTACGTACTTTTTCTTTGTCACAGTGGCAACAGTGTTTAACCTCAGCATATGATAATCCTCCTTATGGCATGAACAGGTATATGCTGCATTTCTAACATCTCAGACAAATATAGAGCACCTAAGTCCTAGCAGCTTTCTAAAACCCTTGGAGATTCAAGCTACTATTTTTCCATGCTTCAGCTAGAGTTATGCTAGAGTATGTTGGGTCTACGTAGCCAGCCTTATGAGATGGAGGTGAAAGAGGTGCACGAAAATGACATTTATTGTTGATACATATATTGTTGGAAAAGTATTGATAAGCCTAAAAGTTACAGTAAAAGGACAGGAGATTGGGGGATGGAGCTTAATGAGGAGAGTTTTATTTTTCCTTACCTCATAGCAGCTTCTCAACTGGTATAAATTAACGTAACACCACTGAAATCAATAGACATATATCAATTCATATAATTTCAGAATTTGGCCAGTTCTTTATGGTTGTTGTAAATGAGCCTGTAAAATAAATCAGGCATGTTGGTCTCATACTTTCCCTCTATCCTGTCCCAGTATCTGTAGAGCTACATGTTCAGCTACTTTACCTCTACTTTATATAGTCCAGCACTAGTGTAAAAGTGATGAATTAAAGGGTTCCAGAGAAAACCACAAATAAATGTAGGGAGTTTGAAACATCTACAGCAGAAACCAGGTGTGCACGTGGATCTTAGTTTGTGGGATAACAGGTGTCTTGAGCTGCAGAAGTAAACTGTGACTGCCAGGTTCTTGTGCAGAGAATGAGGCACTGTGATTGTTGTCAGTGTTTCCTGTGCAGGGCGGTCTTTTCCAAATAAAAAAATTAGCAAAACATGAATGTTTAAAAAAAAAATTATAAGAAGAAAAGAAGGAAGAAAGAAAGCCTAGGGGAGCAAGAGGAAGAAGAAATTGCATTGTCCATCAGATGAAATATTCCCGTTTGCACTCGCTCACTGTGTTCTGCAAGTCAATGTCAGCTTTAAAAGAGCTCTCGAGGTTTTCTGGGTATTCCTTCTCCTTTGTCTGGTTGCTTCGATGTGCTTGTTTGTGCTGATAGAGGAATCTGCTCATGATAGCAATGATGCAAAAGATGATGAATATCACAACTGCTATTACACCTGAAAAGGGGTAAAAAAGGAAGGACAGAAAGAGTAAAAAGCAAAACCAAACTAAGAAGCCCAATTGCCCCAACAATACATTACCAATGTACAACAGCTAGTGGATATGATAGGCCAGTTCATGTCAGTCTGCACATAAACATCTGCCTTGTGTTTTTTATTTCTATTTTGCTACCTTAAGTAAACTTCAAAGTTGCAAGCACTGATGTAACTGGCCTTCTAACTTCAGTAAAATTCTACTTTCACTGGGAGTAAAGTTGGGTTAGTGTGTTTGTTTTTTAAAAAAAACTCAATCTGTATGTTCATTCAAATTCTTGCTCTGTCGTATTTTCTTCTGTGCTATCTCTGGAAACCTTGCATGAGCCTTCTACGCTTTGGTTTATAGCTTCTAGATATTATCAAAGGCAGCTCCCTACAGGGCATCCTATAAAATAAACAGAGATAAATTGCCTTCCAGATTGCTAAAGGAAGATGAAAACCATACACGAAGCTATGAGGACAACTTTCCCAAGTATGTAAACGCTGCCATATGACCTATGGAGTTCTACTACACCACCAGCTTGCAAAGAAGGAGCTCAGGAAATACAGGATATCCGAATAATGTGTTGAGGCTCTCGCCAGAGTGGTGTGTAAAACAGTTACTAATTCACTGTGTCTCAGATCACAGAATCACACAATCAGAGAACAGCTGAGGTTGGAAACGACTCCTGGAGGTCGTCTTGTCCAAATCCCCTGCTGAAGCAGGCACATAGACTTTGGTTATATTTTAGAAGATTTGACAATCCATAATGCCTTTTGTCAGGTGGTATTCAACATCATGTGCCACTACTATTGGCTTCATCCATAATGCATGTGCCTATTTAGGTAGGTTGATACAGATATTTGCTAACAAATACAGCAAATACTAGACCTGCATTAGATTACAAAAATCTTGAACTGGATTTTATGGGCCCCAGATTTAAAGTACCCTAGATGTACGCCTTGACAGAATTATTCCTGAACTGTAATCTTTAAAAATGAAGTTACCTCCAATCACAGCTGAATCACTTCTGACTGCATTGGTGAGACGCTCTCTTTCATCTGTCTTCCCAAATGGATCTGCAGTTGGTTAAACAAAAGAGAACTTATTTTCTGTATCAACTGTATTAATTTTCTCTGTGGCTTAGACACAAGCGTCCTTTTACCCTCATGAATTCTAATCTGTTTTCAAAAGATCTGATTTGGGGGATTGGAGAATCGAACCAGAAAGCTGTCTGAAAAATAAAGTGAGCTTGCAGGACAATTTTTTTCTACATTTTCAGGAGCAAAGACTGTTAAGTATATAGTTAAAAGGAAACAAAAAGGCTCACGCTAACATCTGAAATTTTTGCCTCAGTTTATTGGTAGAAGAATCAGAAACACATTTGAATGAAATAGCCCAATGGAACCTTTCTCAGAGCTTTTTATTTTTTTTTAATACCTATGTAAGAAGCAGTATCAGAAAGAAGCAAGAAGAAAGGAAGGCTAGGCAGATTTACACCCGACCTATGTTTTTAAGTGCAGTTATACAAGTTGAATTCAATCTCATAAAATGAAGCTGTCTCTGCTTTGGATGGCTTCTCAGAAGGGATGGCTTTTTCTCTCCATTGTAGAAATTTAGCGGTCCAATTAATTTGTATATTAAATGTTGCTTGATGTCAGAGCTCTATTGTATCCTATCTATAAATGACTACTGTTGAAATACTGGGCTAAGAAGTCTACATGTTGGCAGTTTCAAATTCAGATCCAAATCTGAGAGGTCAAGCTCTCCTTGAAGGCAAGAGTTAAGGCTTTAGCCCTACATGTTTAAGAAAACGCTGTGTTTTCTGCTGCTAGCTGAATCCAGCTTTTCTGCACCTTCACTTTTTGTTTTCCTCTCAGCTTACCCTCTCCTTTGAGATTCTTATCTGTGTTTCTCTCCTTTACAAGCCTCTAAGCTATCATACAGAGGACGAACGTGGGAGTTACGGATGATTGTCTCTGCCATATGTTATAATGCTTTGCCAAACTGTTCTTTCTGATGCAAGAGGTAGAAGCCTAGCTGAGAAATTTGGTGTTGCACGGTTTACTGTAGTTGAACATCCTTGCCTTACTGGCTGACTCAGCTGTGTTTTGGTATCTCACTGCCCAAGAAAGTGTCTTCTATTGAAACAAGCAACAATTTTGTATTTGTCTATCAAGAGGTGTTGAGTTTGTGATGATGGTGGCTTTGAGCTTTTTAGGTTCTTAAAGGGGGCACTTTTTCCTTATTCTCTACATCACTGATTACCAGCCCCAAAGATGTGCAGAGGGCATCAGCCTCAGGGAGGCTTTTGTATTTCAAAAGATGCAACTCTGTTGTTAGTTTTAGGGATGGAACAATTTCTCATCAAACACACACATACTGAAAAGTCGGGGTTCCCCATATCTGCAATTCACCGACTGAGCTATAGGCACAGAAGGGACTTCTGGGGCCAACTGAACAACTCCAGTACATGCATTATCAACATGAATGGTGATTGCTAATGACAGATTTAAACACTCAGGTTGAGACATTCACAAGAGACCCCCTGCTTAGATCCTGAGTAGCTATAACGATTTTGCCAAAAAAACGAGTCATGGCAAGGCTTCATCTCACTTGCTACATTTGTGGGACTGGAATGGGGATAAAAGCTGCTGTTTTACACATAAATACAGAAAGCATTATAGAAAAGGTTAAGTTGGAAAGGAAATCTGGAGGATTTTTAGCTTAATCTCAACCCTTTAAGCCTAAGTTCAAAGCGGGGCCAAATTTAAACTTAGATCAAGGTTGCTCATAATTTTGTACATCATGGGTACGTGTATTAGCTATACAAATGAAAACTAGTAATTTAGTCTATTTTCATTTAGTCAAGTGGAGGAAAAGAACCTGCAGATACTTTGCACCCTAAGAATGCTGTCAAAAATGGACAGTCCAATTTGCCTATTTCTTTCCATAAACTAGAAGATGGGAGTAATCGTTATTTTAGACTCAAGGTAATTTAATTTTCAGATCCTGGAAGTTTGGTGAGATATTTTCTATCTCAGCCTACAGCTGGTGCCAGTGAAGTCAGCTACAATAAAAACTCACATCTGTTAAACATCAGTCCTCCTGTACTAGATAAAAATCTCCAGCTGGTATCTGGTGCATGGTATGAGTCAGAGTCATGAAAGACAATTAATTGTGTATGAAAAAAGCATCAAATCAAATTTCTACCTTAAAAATTATATAAGACATTATTCACGCCTAAAAGATTATGTAAGATCTGACATGAAATGCTATTAAAGCTCCACTCTTTTTTTTTTTGCGATTGTTACCAGGATTTGAACACTGAGAGTAAACCAGAAGAAATGTTGGAGATCAGTTTCAGAATGGAGACCAACAGACTTAAGAGTTATGTTTTGCCTTGGAGATAAAATCAGGATACAAGGAGAGGAGGGTTTGTTACAGCAGAGCAGATGGCATGTGACAGCAGAATCGTCTCCAGTGGGAATACAATGAACTCTGAAGCCAAGGAAAAGCTATACTGTGTCTCATACGAGACCTTAACAGGACATCTTCCTCATTTTAGATAAAACTGATGACACTACTGTGAATCACCGAGAGGAAGCACTACTGAGGTCATCTAGTCTAACCCTTACTGAAATCGGGGTCTATCATGAGAAGTTTCTCAAGGCTGTATCTGCTTGGGTTTTGAGTATGTTCAAGGTTGAAGACTTCACAACCTCTCTGGGACTCCTGCCAATTTTACTAAATTGGTGGCTCATGAGGATAGACCAATCTCGGTCTTGGAGAAGGTGATCCTGGCACCAGCACTCCTGGACCCCTCTTCTCAACAGGGCTGTATCTCGTGGGATTCTTCCAAGCAGATACATGACCAGGTTGGAGGTTGTTCTGAAATCTAGGGTTGCTGTCATGCTTTCTTCTTTATTTCCCTCCTCTCAGGATCCTGAACCCCACCATCCCATAGTTACTGCAGTCAAAGCTGTCCTGGCACATCTCTGGCCAGTTCCTCCTTGTTTGGAAATATCAGGACCAGTACAACTATCACAGTGAGGCAGGGACTCACACTGTTTAAGCTGCCTTTAAGAATAATTTTTTTTCCTGTGTTGTTTCTGACTTACAAAAGTGTTTGGCATTTTTTCTTTTAAAGGCATGAAGACCTGCTCTTCAGCTGGGCTAGACAGACAGCTCAAGTCTCCACCATTCACAAAGCTGAATCGGTTCTGACATTTACAGTATTTTAATATAAAAAAATACATAGTAGAAGTCCATTATCTCTATGCCATCAGCATAGAGTTCATAATATCAAAACCTCTGCATGTGCCTCAGCAAGGAGGAAGGTGATTTGCAGATCTTTGTTAAGTATCAAAATCACAGTAAGTCACTTTTTATTTTGTGTTTCCTAATCAGAAAGTGTGTATGGATAACTGAGTTGTGAGTGAATGGATTTTATTCCATATCTGTCTGCTAGGAAGCTTTCTTGAAGACAAGTAATCCTCTCTGAAAGACCTTCAATTGTTTTCACGTTATAAATATAGAAAGCTTTTTTCACACATTTAAAGAGATTTCCTAGAGGGCTTTTTTGTTGTATCTGTACATTAGAAAATTGACAGAGACATGTACAGTCAACTTTGAAGTTCTATTTTTCTTCTCAGACACTCAATAATGAGAAATTGGGAAGTGATGAATTGAGATATGAGCAGTAAATATGAAAGTTAATTCTTAACTCTGTCTTCTTTTTATTTCTTAAAATGTGTCCTTTCCATGTATAAATGTAATTCTCAAAAACATCTATATAAAGTATAATTTGATACAAATGGGATTTTTTTCTTTTCAAACAAGAATCTACTGCCCAGTTCTCTTACTATAGCATATAGACATGAAGTCTTCAGAACTAACTTGTTCTAAAGATCTTATTCAGGCTTTAATCAAATCCAGCATGAATAGTGAGGCAGTGATGTCAGTTAATTCATCGCATTGAGAGGAAATCATATTTTAAAGCACAGAGTGGCAAAGACAGGGATGAGCTTTTATAATAATTCTGCATTTCTGATGTAACAGCGCTTAACCTTGACAATAGAGTGCAACCGATTGTAAGCTTTAAATATTTAAATCCAAAGATGCTACATTCTGCTTATTGTTCTGTCCTGCAGTTCTGAGCCTCAGGTTTTACTGCTTTTCACACTCTTTAGAAAAATTACATCATTGAGGTGACAGATCATAGGGCAAGAAGTTCATATTTTCAGTAACATTGCCCATTCGGTATTTACAAGACGCTTCTATGCGTCAGTGCAGATACCTCAGACAGCGCTGGGTAGTGAGAAAAAAGTTGAGGGGTGGGGAGAAGCACGCACACATTTGCAGCAGCTCTCCACAGAGTAATCAGCAGCCTTTTTCCCCATGCAGAATGCTAATAGCATCATTTGTGTTCTGCTGAACATCTTAGTCAGTAGCTGCAGGAAATGGAGATTTGATGCAAGCACAAATGTCAAAAGAAACATATTATGATCTAAAAGAGAGTTTTATTAGTTATCAGAAAAGAGAATGTGGCTTCATGGGTGAAGGGGCAAAAAACAGCCCTTAATTTGGACACCCTTCTGATCATTAAGAATTCTGCCACATCTACTGGTGACTAAAGCAGCAACTTGATTGCCCCTGTTCCTGGTGACAACACTTCCAGCTGCTCTGAGTTTCCTTTTCTGCATACAAATTCACATATGCAGAATACTTAAGATTCCCAAAGGACAGTTTCAGGATTGCAAAAGATAAAGTAACTATTGGGATTATCTATTGGGTACTGCTCAAGTAGTGTTCCTTCTCTTCAGCCTGAGAGAGTAAAGTACAAGCATTCAATGCAAAGCATGCACACATGTCGAGGGGTTTGTACAAGGAGTTTTTGTTCATTCCTGAGAGGGTGGGAACAAATTTGACTTGGTGGTTGTATGACTCCTATTGCTTCATCACCACTGGGATATAGAATCTGTGTAACATTTATATTCTCCTTTGAGATCTGCAGCACTGGAGCGATCTAGAGTAGACATGAATGGCAAATCAAGTGCACAACTCTACTTCTAGTGCTGTTTCTGCTGCGGCTTTGGGACTTTTTTGCTTATTCTAGGCATGTTTCAGACAATCCAGAAACTTTGGTTTAGTACAATGACTTTTAAAGGAGCCTAATGTCCATCCTCGATATTTATAATATAACAATTGGATTACAGAAAAAGAAGGAAGGAAACCTCACACTACAGTATCCTTTAAATTCCCCATTCCCCTCTTGGCAGAACATACCTGACGAGGAATATATTGTAGTTACTGTGTTAACATCAGCTTCCATTATGGATGCACAGCTGGATTCAGTCAAGGAGCCTTTGACAGCCACAGGAGCAATGCTGGGATGGCGTAAGGCAGCTTTCAGGGGAGCAACATGATTGTACTGAACAGAGGACAGGCAGCCAGTGAAACCGTAGACATTTGCCTTTGAGACTTCAGGGTCCAGTGACAAAGTATCTGCAATACACGACAAAACCACTCCAGGAATTATCTGCTTTAGGAAGGCATTAAAAACAAACAAATCCTTTTTTGCCCTACCTACCTCTTTCACTTCTCTTCATGCAATCTCAACTGTTCAGGTTCTCTTTCTGCAGCCTACAAGTTGTTGCTGGCCTAGCCATGAGTTTCCTAACCCCAGTCCTTCCTTTATGTTGCTGCTTACATTGAATTAAGTTAGCTCAAACATAAAAGCCAACTTGATTTAATTGTGTTTCTTTCACCATCCATTTTCTCTACTGTCTGGACAACATCTAATACATCATCATAGGTGCTAACCATGGCAATAACAATAACAATAATAAACAGTAAAAATAGCAACGCTGAATATCACAGGATCCTGGGTGTGATGACCTTGAACATTTTTTGTATCTGTTAACAACATCAATTTCATAGATTTGGACCATATCTGCAAGGCCTCCTCCATTCTTTTAATGAAGGAAGCTGCTCTTATATTGTCTATTAAGCAATGTTTTGTGTGGCCTAATATTGAATGACTTGCTAATATAGGTTTCCATTCTTCTTCACGAGTTTATTTTTCAACTTTTCTGAAGCATTTAATTATTTTACTACATTTTTATAAGAAGAGTTCCTAGGAATCCTTCCAGTTATGAGCTGGGCTCTTACCCTGCTAGATCCATTCCACAAATAAAATAAAACCCAAAACTATACTCTTCTTCTCTAAGTTGATACCAGCATTTCCACGCTCTTTTCCAGCTTCAAGATGAGACAGCATAACTAATTTATCTGTTGGTTTGTGTTCATTTAAATTTCATAAAGAAAAAGCCAATTCAATGGTAAATGTTTTTATTTAGTTAGTTAGTTATCTGCAGAAGTTTTAATATCAAAGATTGTTTGGGAAGGTCAGTGAAGGACAGTGAAGCTGCCTCTTTTCTCCAAGCTCTCATTTATTTACTTTGCAGAAATTGAAATTCGTGCTGTTCAGAGGTCTGTCTGTAACACAGTGTGACTTACATCGAGGTCAATCAAACAAGAAAAAAAACCAAACAGAAATACACACATATATAGCATCAAAACTAACTCAAATTCTTAAAAATTACCTGCTAATGAACAAAACTTACAGCATTGAAAGTTTTGGAAATACTTCCAATGATGTTGGAAAAGAATTCCCAGCTTTTCAAGCTTATTTTCAAAGCTTTCACTGGTACCTGAATTACACAAACTTCTTTTACATATAAAAAAACCACAAAGAAATCTCAAAACTAGCCCATATCATACAGCAAATCAAGGTATGGTGTGAGCTTGCTCTCCGAAGGGTATTACAGGGGACATGCTCAATCTGCAGTGCTGCCATGGGGACAGCCTGTGGGCTATGAGTAACTGCAAGAAAGAGAGATGGGAAGAGAAACTGTGAGGCTTTAGATGGGAAGAGAAACCGTGAGGTTTTGCCACTGGAAAAACTAGCCTTACAGAGGTTCACATTTGCTCTTTCAGTGTGTAGGAATTGGCTGCATTCAGGTTTTTAATGAGATTTTGGCAGGGGTGTGATAAAACAGAAAAGCAATTGTTTCCAAGTTCCTGCAAAAAGGCTTATGTAAAACTAAAAGACTGTTTTACAGTATTTGTCGTCTTTGTTGAATTTAGAAAACTCTTTCTACTACTAACCATTCCTCCTCTCAGCCTTTCCTGTTTTCTTAGCTCTGGCACAAAAGGTGGATTTGTTGGTATCTTTTAGACATTGGGCAATCTAAATTGCTCTGTTCTGCCCCAATGTGCAAAAGGTAAAGCCTAAGAAAGAATGAATTCCTTTTCATGGTACAGTAGTTTGAAAAGTCTAAGACACAGTACTTTTGAAGGCTTTTTTTTAAAAAGTCAAATTAAGGGCCGGTTGCAGGAATCTTTTGTCAAAGTAAGCTTTGCATGAATGAGAACCAGGAGATTTGTTGTTGAAAAGCTTTTCAATTTGAAAATAAATAAAAAAAAGAAAGAATTCAGAGAACAGACTAAAAACAACCTCAGAGCATCTGGTAAAAATCCCACATGCACAGATACAGTTTGCATTATTATACAGTTTTAGGTGCATGCCTTATGTCTCTCAGAAAGTGGGGCCTTCACTGTTCTCAGCAAGAGAACTGTACAGCTCGGATGTGAACGATTGGTGCTGCCCTCTGAATTCTTGAGTGGATAACCTAAATCTGTGATTATGACATAGTCGCTTTTGTAAAAGGCTTATTAAAGGCCACTCTGTCACTTGAAGTCTTTAAATCCTGATAAAATGTTTTTCCAAAAGATATTTCCACTGCAGGACACGGTGCTCATTAAGGGAAGCAACTCAGTGAAGTTCCAAGGTTTGTGCTGAAGCAAGGTCATATGAAATGTCAGTGGCTTTCCTCTGACCTGGTTACGCTGTGAATCTTTCCATGCATTTGACTGGTCTGGAAAATCACACTGAGCTGCTGCTGATAGCTTGCTTTGATCTTCTGACATTTTACTATTGGGTTTCTGTTCTCAGTACTGGAGACTGAGGTACTTTTGGATGATTTCTACATGGGGAGTGAGAAAGAAATCTTTTTTGGCTTTTGCGTATCTTAACTGTTCAGTCCCCACAGCTTAAGTTTACCCATATTTTTTTGGAAGTAATTTTTAAGCTTTGTCTACTGAGTTGTCCATGAGTAGTTCTGGCTTCTTGCTGGGTCCCCTAGTTGCCTCCAGAAGGTGCCTGCAATGCCACAGCTCAGTGAGTTTTGTGTTGGTCGTGGTTTCCCATTTCCCATGATTTCCATGATAATGAGGACTAAGTCTAACAAGCAGTTGTATTTTTTAAACTTTACTGATTGTATCAACACAATTTCTTTGCTGATGCATTCCTATTCACCAAACCGACACTCTCTTCCACAGCTGTTTCTTTGTGTACCTCTGCTACATCCAACATGCTTGTTTTAAGATCTTAAATAAAGCAATTTTAAGCCTTAATATCTTAATGGGGAATTAATTTTCATCATAAATAGAATTTGACTAGAGTTAAGCTTCTCAGTAATATATCAGAAAATAACTGTTATTTGCGTGCAGGGAGAGTGTCTCAAAAAGACCTTCTTTCTAAAGATATCACTGTGGAAAATGGGATAACAAATCCAATATATTTTTGTTCATTCTTTATAAATATTAATTTCATGTCACTCAGAAACTTCAATCAGCTTCTCAATAATATATCAGAAAATTGACATAATAAATGATAACTAATAGGACAGGTAATTGGAAATAAAGAGAAATCAAAACTGTTATTTGCGTGCAGGGAGAGTGTCTCAAAAAGACCTTCTTTCTAAAGATATCACTGTGGAAAATGGGATAACAAATCCAATATCTTTTTGTTCATTCTTTATAAATATTAATTTCATGTCACTCAGAAACTTCAATCTAAGCCCAAAGTTTACTTATGTGCTCACCTACATCCAGGAAGGCCCATCACAGATTTCCTTAATCAAAATTTATTTTTAACATCAGTGAGAGCAGACATAGCCTGTTTTAAATATGTATGCCCTAATTAATTAATCTAAGTGAATCGCTGGTAGAAACGCAAGTGGCAATTTACTGTGCATGCTGAAGTACTGGTTGGCCTTTTTTTGTGTGTGTCTGAGAAACAGAAAGATGATTTTTGCAGCAGTTAGAGTGTATGTATCGTCTCATTTTGCCAAGGTGCTGAACAGCACTGGCAAGATGGCTTCTTGGACATTGCAACTAGAATTGATTCCATGACCTTGAAGTAAAAAACTCTTGTGGTCTCCACACTGCACCTGTCTCGGAAGAGTTGACTAGCAGGCATTTTGTGGTTACTTCCAAAAATACGCTGCTGTATCCTTCAACAACATTCGCAATCATTGCTGATACTAATAATTGAATCAGAAAGGGCAGAAAACATGTCTTGGATTAGACTGGAGCTCACAAAAAGGCATCTTTAGAATAATCTAATTTCCTGTTGTGAGCCTGCCACAAAAGCAGCAGAGTGAACCACACTACAATTTTTCCTAGTTAGAACTATTGATCTCAATCAGTTTGGCTCTTGCTTAAGAAAAGGGTGAGTTTGAAGAGGAGACAGGCTCCAGGCATTCTATATTCCTTCAAGATACTTCTGAAGAAGTGAAGGATAGCAAGAAAAAAGTAAAGGTACTTTTTTCTCACAAGTTTTCCCAGCAATGAGTGGAACATGCCAGGGTTTGCTTGCTGGCAATTGAACATTTCAGGCCATGTGGAACATTTTTTGGAAACAATTTTTGTTTCATTAGAGTTAGTGGAGACAATTTCAGGCATGCATTTACTATGTTTTCTTAAAGGCAGTTTGCTGTTGAAAATGAAGCACTGCTTGGAGTTGCTATGTGAAATTTGTTACACGTCACAGTTTTTGACATTTGAATTCTAATCTGTCACAACATAGCCAGCACTATGTGATTTTGCATGGGTTCAAAATATAGTCTATAAAAAGAAGAAAATATGCAACAAGAAGGAGAGATGATATACAAAATACATGCTTTTCTCAGGAGAAGTCAGATAAAATCAACTTCAGTATCAAGTACTCAGACTAAAAATAAAATTTCTAGATAGAAGCAGATGACCTTGGATGCTTATTTAGGCAGTATTATCAGCAAGAAAATGGAGATTTAAGCATGGTGTTATGATCATATGGTAAATGCTATTGTTGGGGGAAAAGCCTGTATAGATTTGGTCTCTTTTTGGTATAGACATGATGGCTTTACTAGCTTAGACCTTGAATTGTTTGAAGTGCCTGGGGTAGCCAAACTTTGCGTATTTTAACTGTTGCCATCTTGGTCTCAAATGTCTCTCCTCTTTTACCCTAAGTAGTCACTCCATTTTCCTTAATGCTTTACTAGGCTACTAGGAGGAAAAAAATGACTTTTAAAGGTGCCTTATAAAGCACTCAAGGGATCTTTTTCTGAGGTATTGTTTTTATAAGAAATAGGTATTAAGGGCAAGAAGAGTCTGCAGTAAAGATCTTTGCAGTGACCAGAAAAGTCCAGCCAATATCTCTTGCAAACACTGTTGTATTGTTTAAAATGCGAGCGCACAATATGCCAAGGCTGTGACTTTAAATTTCTCAAACAAATTGTGATCTTGTGAGCTTAAGAAAGGGAATGAGTTTCTGCCAAAAAAAAAAGAGAGACATAAGTCTGTTCCATAGAAACTCTTTGAAAGGATATACTTCTTTAGGGAAGATTTTGTATCTCAGAACTAATGCCAACTTGCCCCTTCTGATTTAATTATCCTGTTATCATCTCACCCAATATAATATCACTCTTGGATGAATTGCTCTGTGATCTCCATTTTTGGCCATTTTCTTCTTGTGAACTTTTAATAACAAAAGCTATTGCAGAAATCATAAGAATTGTACTGCCCCTACATAATGATTTTGATCAAATTACTGTCTAGATAAACTTTCTTCTTTGTATACTTCATATCAACGCTGAATGATTAAGTGGAGAGACTCCTACAACTTGAGTGGAATTTAGCTCAGACTTTTATAGATAAAAGATATCATGACTACCCAGTTCTTTACATTTCTAGTGTGGGAAGATCTGCTAATTGATCACTCTGAAGACACAAGTAGATTAAGTCAACATTAATAGGTGTGAAAGAAATCTTGGCAAACTTTTTCTTCAGAATACTCTCAATGCTACCCTTATACCTTAATATCACTACATAGCTTGTATTTTAAATTGCTCAGAAGTAAATATGCAGACAATGAGATTCACTTCTCTTCAGTGATTATTTTTCAGGGACCATAATGGTGAAAGATTTAGACAAGTTGGGACACAGGAAGAAGTTTTCAAAGATTCATTAAGGTCAACCCCAAAACAAATAAATTATATTTTCCATTGGGATAGCAGCTTTTACTAGAAAAGACCTAAACATATGCTAACGTGTCTCCGATCAGAGAATTACAGAATAATTTAAGTTGAAAGACACCTCTGAAGGTCATGCAGTTCAGTCCCTTGTTCAAAGTGAAGCCAGCTTCACGGTTAAGTCAGATTGCCAACAGAGCTCTTGTGGGTAAATACAGCAGTATGATGTCTGCAAGGAGTACTTAAAGTAAATGAACTGGGACTCTGGTTAAGATTTCACTGAGGCTTTGCCATAAACTCTATGATTCACTTGGGGCCCGAATCCAGTACTCACTAAAGTCCATGTAAAAACTCCCGTTGATACTGATGAGCTTTGGATAGGTTCTTTTGCATCTTGCCTCTAGATTTGTGAAGTAAAAATGGTAATAAACTACAGGATAGTATTTTTCTATTGCTGTTGGATACTGTGAGGAAGAATTCAACAAACGTCTGTTGGCTACTTGAACATTGCTTCTTTTTACTCCCTTGTTTTCAAAGCCACACGTTTGGATTGATCTTTCTAAGGTAGCTATATGGCCCCATTACTGTGGATCTGAATAGCTAAGAGACTTTAATGCTTTTATCCTCCTAGCACCCCTCTTATGTAGGGATGTTCTATTATCCATGCTTTACTGATAGAGAACAGAGATAGTAAAGCTCAGACTGGTTCCAGTGGGTATAAAATGCCTGCTTACCTTTATATCGGCACATAAATGGCTTGCCCAAGGTCATTCAAGCAGTCTGTGCCAGAGTGAGTGTCCCTATGTTCTGAATTCCAGGTGAGCCCTCTCTGTCTTAAACAGAGGGTTTTTTTCCTGGAATTCAGAGCTGGGTGTAGGACAGCCACTGGAAAATATAGCAGACTTGAAAAGCAGTAAAAAATATCAGAATTTAAGCAGGTTTTGACTAAAGGAAGTGCAATAGGTCTGGGGTGGTAGAGGTAGCACTATTATTTAAAACCTGTTCATCGTCTAAAAGTGCACTTTGCTTTAAAGGTTATCATAAGAAAATCTGGTGAGGAAGAGGTTTCAAGCTTTTATGATATCCTATTGGAAGCTCTCTTTGAGTTTTCTCAGCCAGTGGGAAATGAATGGTGGAGTCAAGAAAGGAGGTGGCATGATCATCTGGTTAAGCAGCCAGAATCAGGTTGTTAGATCAGGCAAATGACTAGTGGTGTGACAGGAAAGGACAAGATAAACACACTTCCAGAACATAGCATGGATCTGTAGGACACATAGAACAGAGGGGTTTTTATATGGTTATATTTCAGTGGACACTTAAATGTTCCTAATGAGTGCCTTTAGGCACCTAAATCCCAGAGGCATGCAAAACAAATACTTCAAGAAGTCTAGGTCTACTATGAAGCATCACATGTCTCTGGAAGTTTACATTTTGCTGACAGGATGAACGAGGACAATAAAGAATTTGAAGATATTGGTTTAGATCACCAGAATTCACCTTCTGGTGAGCCATCATTAAAAGAAGCTATAGCTGACATTTCATCCCTGTAATAGTATAAATATCTAAACCCTACATTCCTGTAATGACAAGGTCTAGCTCTCCTCTTGATACAAGGCAATACTCTTGACTTCATAGCAGTAGGAATTTTTGTAGGGATTTTTTGCCAGCTTGGGCCAGTGTGTAATCTGAGTAATTTTGAAGATGATACAAAATTGGGAAGAGCAGTTGGCAGACCAGATGCATGTGCCACCAGTGGGACACTGACAAACTGGAGAAATAGGAAAACAGGAACCTCATGAAGTTCAACAAATGAAATGTAAAGACCTGCATTTGGGTTAGGAATAACCCCATCCACCAACACCAGTTGCGGCTGACCAGCTGGAAAGCAGCTTCAGGGAGAAAGACATGGAGGTCCTGGTCGACAACAAGCTGACCATGAGCCAGAAATGTGCCTCTGAAGCAAAGGTGGCCAATGACATCCTGGCATCCAGGGTTGCCTTGGGGAGTGCATGGCCAGCAGACAGAAGGTGATCCTTCCCCAACACTCCGCATGAGTGTAACGCTACCGGAGTGCTGGGTCCAGTTCTGGGCTCTCAGGTGGAAGATGGACACGGACTTACTGGAGTGAGCCCAGTGAAGGGCTGCAAAGATGATTAAGGGGCTGGAGCATCTTTCATTTGAGGAGAGGCTATTAAGCCTGGGACTAAAGAGCTGGGATTGTTCATCCTGAAGGAGAAGTCTCAGGAGGATTTGTGATTCTGTGACAGCACAAGGAGTCTATTCAGCACAGCTACAGCTATAGAAAAAATCCTGGAAAATTAAATCCTGATAGAGAAGGAAAAGTTTACAAAAATTGACTTAACCTGGGACAGAGAAACCAGAATTAGGATTAGGCTGGAATGAAAGTAACTTGCACTGTGTGATTCCTGGTACAGTAGTAAGATCTCCCACCACCTGGATGGCCAAGTTTATGGCTTTAGTGTCATAACAGAATATGAACTATTGCCATTATTACTACTATTACTAAAACAAAATCCCAATAAACTCTGGGGCAAGAGAGAAATGACAGAAGGATACAGCCATTAAAACTGTCTGGAGGCAAGTCGGTGGTATTCAGTAGGACTGAATGCTGGACCTCTGGAGATACATCTGGGCTTTTTTGCTTTGCAACAACCTTGTCCTTGTAAAGTTAATCATGTTTTTGCTACTCCATACTCTCCATAGTGCTGAGCTGCACCTTGTCAGCTTGCTGGCTACATGTTTGAAAATCTTTGTGGTGTTCCATCTTGCTGGTTAGAAAAGCCTTGGTTTATTGATTTGCTATCTATAGCTAGAGCTTCAAGTAGAGGTCACAATGAGCAATGCTCTTTCAGATTTTCAGTACTACAGCTGACCATTGACAAATTGAGATTTTTGGCTTAGCTCTGACTTGGGCTGAAAAGTTTCAGATGCCCAAATCTGTCCACAAAGGCTTGGAGTATTGCTGCATTCTGAACAAACATTAAACGTAACTAAGGGCAAAATCAGTTCCTGTCCTTAATTTACTTAGCAAAAGATGATGCAGAGAGCACTAATGTCATTATATGCAATTCTATTGCACAAGCAGACACTAGAGGATATCTATAGTTTCTCTCTACCTACCAGTCCCTCAGGCCTTGGGTGCTATTAATAAAACAAATAAAATTTTAATAGTGAAAGAGATGTCAGGCTTCCTATGGATGTCCAATTCTAATAACAGACTAAAATGTCTATAAACAAGGGAGCATTTAGAACCTTACTGAAAATGTGTAAGACTCTTGCATAAAGTAACATAACATACTTGACAACAAAATAAGAGTTCTTCTTTCCAAATTTCAGGGTTCAGGAAAAGCTTTCCTAGTTTTTTAATGGCTTTGTAGTGTGAAGGGTTAAAGATCAAGAAGGTCCATACACAGAGCATGCAGAATTGTGGTCCCAGTGCTATATGTAATATAAATATACCTTGCAGAATTCAAAAGGAAAAAGACTGGGAGTCAGAAGAGGGTAGAGAGTATGAAGGCTCACTGTGCTGCTGTTCTTATCATTAGGAAACACATATGTCTTGAGAGGAGCAAGCTGTAGTCAGCAAAATGGTATCATTAGGCTAAGATGCCACCCTGTGCGGCCACACAGGCAGTATGAATCACTTTATTGGAGGGAGCAATGAGAGAAGATAAAATTGCTATCAGTGCAAACAAGTAAAGCTGCCAAACTTTTGCACTGATGAGCTATACAAACAGGATCATCAGAATTCTCAGGCCAACTCTCACTGCTAATTCAGCCAAACAAAATCCCAATCCTACTAAAACCCCAACCCACAGCATAGGTTAACTCCAGCTTTATAACTGATGAATCAGGAATATTTGTAGTATAACCTACCTGTGACCTTGCCCAAGGTAAGTGATTTGATGGCCTTAAAGTCAATCTCAGAAAAGTTGTGTTTGAGTTTGAGAACTTGATCAACCTGGAAGAGGTGAACAAAATTAGTTCATTACAACAGCATGTAGACATCCCTATCTCTCTCTATACTGCAAACTTCTGGGAATGCTCTCAGCTGCAAATCAGTTTATTCTGCCCTGAAGCGTGATTCAGTTTCTAAAGATAGGAAAGTGAATGTGCTTTGATTTTAGCATGAGAAGCTGAAAGGTACACCAGAATAGTCATACAAAGGGCTTTGAAGAAACTTCCCCTGCAGAATAGCTCAAAATGTTTGACACTGAAATCCCTTTGCTTCCCAAAACCCATGTCTAGTCACTTCAGAATACACTCAAAGAAAACCTCTCTAGAAACATATTGTGAAGAATTAGTTCTGCATAGAAGAAAAGCACAGTGCAACAGACAATGGAAGACTGGTGCTTGGAGGTAAACCCTGGCTTTTAGCAAAAGTCTCCTTCCTAGATAATCAGGCCTATCCACCCTAGTTACGTGCTGTGTTATCACGGAAACTGTAAAGGAAATTAAAACTGTAACACTCCCTGTGTTCTGTCTCCTTCTCATTCTGTCCCTTACCACATGGCTTCTCTGCAGACTCTGCCACCCTTCTCTATTAAGTGACTGCTGCCCAGATCTAGCCAATTTGTTTTGTAATATGAACTGCTATAATCAACCTCAGAAGGAAAGCAGAAGGAGCTGTAAAATGGTCCTCTTCTTCCTGCCTTGGAAAAAACAGGTGATGCAGGAAAACAAGGCAGAGGGTTTCTTGTCTCTCGTGAGGTTGTCACATCCAGCATGTCTTGCTTCTAGCAGAGACAGGGCTTTGTCATGCATGTGGTGGCTGCACCCTCAGTTTTTCCTTTTCTGTGAGAGTATAAGGCAGCTGGGGTCATGTTCTGTCTTGGGCCACATACCCAAAATGAAATTACACTCCCAGGTTCTCATTCCTCAGTTGTTTTTCTCCCATCAGTAGCTCTATAATGATCCATACTGTGTGCTTCGTCTGGGACTACAAGTCACAGAGATCCCTAGGCCCCAGAACCACTCCAATGGTCCAGGTTAACTTCTGGACAGAGGTGTTTCCTAACTCACAGACTGCCAGAAACAAGGGAAGGATGACTCGGAAAACACCATGCTTGGACACTCTGAAGCAGGGTCTGGATGGAGCCTTGGTCTAACCTACAGGGATGTTCTGCTGCTTGACCAGTTTGGTTGCACCAGATCAGCGTGAAACCTTTGCCTCCTGTTGGTGATCAGCCATCAAAATCAGTGGGTCTGTTTGTGCCATGAAGTATTATTTAACACTCAACATAAGACATGGCATACCTGAATTATGAGCTCTCTGCCTTCTCTGTTAATCTTCACATGGTGCAGCTCTCTGTTGGCAAAATTTCCAGAGTCAATGGTGAAAATGAGAAGCCCATCCTTACTCAGCTTGTACCGGACCTGTAAACTTCCTTAAAAGAAGAACAAAATTCTGTATATAAATCCTGTGCCAATAATGAGATAATGTTCAATACCTTTACACAATACATAACTCATTTTCTTTTTATTACTGTGCAGTAACAAGGTTAAAAAGTCAAGAAAGAGGTTTAAAAGAAATGGAAGAGTTCAAGCTGTAATGAAAAGTGTGAAAAAATTAATGCCCTGAAAGAGTTTTCCTTCCTTTTAGCTAACAAACTCTGCTTTGGAGAAACATAACTTAATTGAGTAACTAAGTATATCAAAGGAGAGTGTGTCTGTCTGCAGGTCAGACATTTAGCACCACCACAAAGGCTGATCTACATTAGTCTGTTAAGGATTGCTTCCACCAGAGGGCACGCAGGTCTTGCATTGATCTATTAAACTAATATTGGTGGATTTTACTATTCTTTTTCATCTAGATGAAACAGACAATGCAGAAGACAGTGACAACTGTGAGAATTATAACTTAATTTCCAACATTTAAAGGCCTAGACTCATTATAACTTATAAGCAATACAAGAAAAGATGTATTGTAAATGATTATACAGAAAAAATATTTTTACTTTGGTGTTCTAATGTATTTGAAGAAATAAATATAATTCATATAAAAATAAATGACAACCATCTTTCAGTATTTGTATCCAAAAAAAGAACTGTGATTTCTGATGAATAATAGTACCATAACAAATCAAAATGCATAAAAAGAGAAGGAACCCAATATGAATTTTAATCCTTCCACAAGTAACTACAGTGGAAAAAAAAAGCCAAACCCATATATATATATACACACACACACACACATATATATATAATTTTGAAGGAAAGAAAACTATTCTGATAAAATCCTTTCAAGCTTACTATTCTAGGAATTAATTCCTTTTTGAGGAATTTTTATGCATTTGCAATGAAAATATATGGAATAACAATAGTACAATAGAGTTAAAAAACTTTTCTAGGGATACTTTGTTACTATCTCCAGGAGAAAACAAACACTGACAGCACCATAACCCTGAACAAAGGATCCTTCGTTTATTTCCTGTTTTGAAAATTATCATAAAAACTCTCCTGTCTTGTTCCATTTCAGCACTTCTGTTAGCACAAGCTTAAACTATTCCAAGTACCACTCGCTTTTGCAGAAGGCTACAGGCAAACATTCCCTATGCTGAATAATAGAGACCGATGGTCAACAAAGGATGCGCTCACACTGCTTTAGCTCTGGGACTGGTTTCAGTGTTTGCACAGGCCATGCCTGCACGCACATCGTGGTGTAACCCCCCTGTCGGAGAAGCCCACAGCACCCCTGCACGAGCCTCTGGACGTGTGCGGTGCACTGCAACGTTATCCAGAGGCACCTCTGATCCCAGAAGCAGTCTTGTCTGTTTAAGGAAGTGAACGAGCAGCCCTTCCTGGCTCCTCTGTTCAGATGTATGAATGTTGCAAGACTCCTTGGAGGTCTAGAGTTAGGAAAAAAACATGGGGCAACTCTCCCTCACTACATAGTGTGGATGTACCTGCTCCCTTCAGCCTTCAACATCCTCCCTAAATAAGGTCAGGTCTGTTATCCTACAAGCTACTCTAAAAACACTTTAAAAAACACTAAAAACAGTCTAAACTCACTAAAACTAGTTTAAAACAATGGATAAATTTCCTGCAGAGGGTGAATTTTGCCATTTTTACACAGCTCACAGTGAAGTTGGCAGTCCTTCCACACAGGACTGAGTTCAGTTAAGATCATCCCTCCTTCTTTTCCCTCACACCAGGATGTTTGGTTTCTCAGGCTCCTAAGAGTTTGTAACATTCAGTATATTCCAGATGAGCACCACTGCTCTCTGAGCTTCAGAGGATAGAAACAAAGCTTCCAAAAACAAGAAGTAAAATGAGAATGAACTACTAGGATGAAGGCTTTTTAGATGACTGAGAGAGCTGCTAGATCAGGTGAGCTTTTAAAGTGAAAATTAAAAAAAAAAAAGATCTAAAAGGCATTTACCTTCTCACACATAGTCACGGATGTTAGAAGGGAATTTGTGAAGAGATCAAGGTCAGTAACAACTGCTAAATTATTCAGTGTGATGTTATAAGTCCTGAGTCAGTTGTTCCAAATCATACTGCAAAGCTTCCATCCCCTCACTGCAGAGCCAGGACAAGGAGCTACTGTATATCACGATGAATGTCACACTTAAAGATCCTAACTTAAAGCAGATCACCTTTTTCTGGTACTGAAGGAAAGATGCATCAACAGGGAATAATAGTGTAACCATCCAACAACCACTTTACTCTAGAAAGACGTGAGAAAATAAGCCCAAGTGCAATGAAGGTAAGGGACCTTCTTCAAAACTCCTAGTTAGTGCAGTGGGAGTCACTTAAAAATGGGAAGCCTACCTGACCCTGCATACCACAGCTGAGATGACCACACAGAAAAAGCTGAAACTAAGATGTGATAGTGTTACAGATTGACACAAACTAAAAATCACATCCTAGCAGAAGTACTTTATCAGCTGCCTTTTACCAAGAGCCTTGATAGGGGTGTAATGCAACAAACGGAACAGAGCCTAGATTTGGTCTGTGACCTTGAAGTAGTTGCTTAGTTTGTAGATGTGAAAAAACTTCTCTGCTCTTTTTGAATGCTGTGTGCATACTGGTATAAAAAATACAAACAGTACTACTTTATCCAGGTGATCAACATAGCAACCAGCACATTTGTGTTCAAAGACAGCCAGCAAGATAAACAATCTATCCAGGCTCTCAGCTGCTGCAAACAAGGATTCACCCATTGACTCCATCAGAGAAGCACTGATTTTAAGCCAAAAACCATCTGTTCAATTTGTTGGGAGACAATGGAGAAGGCTCTTGACATCCATCAAGAACAGATCTTACTTTCTATAGGGGTACAATTTTACCTTAAATAGTTAAAAGAGATCAGTGAACAGCATTTTATTTTATCAAATTGCTTTGAATTTCAATGGCAAATTTTTTTTTTTGATATCTGCTCTCCAAAACCATTAAACTCAAGTTGGCATTTTGCCTGGGGTCAAATTTGCATTATTACAAACCAGAATTACACAGGCTAAACTCTCCAAAAGTGTTTTAGAATTTACAGTAGTGTAGATGAGAGCTGATTTTAGCTTGCATTCCGTACCAAAACTTCTTCTGTTTTTAAAGTACAGAATAATTTGTCTGGCAGATTACATTGCCATTTTGCTACTTGACAGGCAAAATAAATGTATTATTAATTAGGATTATTATTAAGAATTTGGTTTTGTCCTTTGAATTTTGATTATCTGGTCCACTGACTTTCTTCATCACATCAGCCCAGTTTCACTAACTGCAAATAAAACTGTGCATAAACCAGCCCTATTCTCCAGCCTCTCTCTATTTTGCATCATTTTTGCCTCACAATAGGGATTCACACTAATCATGAGCAGTGTAATTTCTGGCAATCTTCTTGCAGTCATGCCTGTCATCCTCTTTTCAGCTCCCTGTGTCTGAGCATGCACACCTGGAGTGCCATAATGTTCAAGCAATGCACTGCCTGTTGTGTTTTCTTCCTTCTTTAATGTATGTGGAATTGCTGGAGGCAATTTCTATTAAGTCCATAAAAAAGGGAGGGAAGGAAAGAGAGAGGCATCATGTTCTTGGCCTTGGGATGGAAAATACCTGACATATTACCCCAGAAGTTTTAGGTAAGAGTAGATTCACACTTGAATATAAGTCATCCCTTTTACCTGCAAAGCCTGCAGGGTGCAGATCAGTGTGGAGATAGGCTGTGCAAGCTCCAGAAGAGCTCAACAGTGGAGCAGGCACAGTTTAGCCACAGCGTTACCGGCCTCTTCTTGTCACTTCTGGAGGAAATGAGTCCATGTGGGCTGCCACGCTGCTGTGATGAGACCACTACTAGCATCAAACTGTGGTCTGCAGTAGTATAATCCGTGACTGTAGGGTGAATGACATCTATCTGCTGATGTCAAACAGGTACAGAGCCATTTTAACAGCATTCCTAGAGGTTCCCTTGTGCAGAATGAAGTTCTGGGAAATAGAGACCAAAGGACAGTTTTTATGCCATCCCGTGCTGGTGACTAGGTTTTGGGATGGTTTTTCTGAAACAAAACACTCCCAGAAGACTCCTTCAGTTGTGATGGAGGCCAGGGTTAATACTTGCTAGCAGTACACTAATGATCGGTGTCAGCATAACCAACCTTCGGGCAGATACAGAAGCAGCATGGTGCCTTCCAACTGCTTCTCTTTTTGCTGAGGACAAGAAAGATGTAGTAGTAGTAGCTCTTAGGTCTAATGGTAATAAGGACATTAAACTAGTTAGAGATTTCCAAGTGTTCAGCCTGAAGAAGAGGAAAATATTCCTGACCTGCACAGCGTGAAGAAATAGCTTGGCCATGATGTTACATATTCTATGTCCAAAACTTTTTCTCATTGAACTTGTCAACAGGAGAGTTGTCTTTTGTGTGTGTCTACAGCAGTGCCTGAGTGCAATGTCCCAAGCATCTGGTGGATTTGTAGCCTATGCCCACTGACTTTACATTCATTCTGGACTGCCAAGGCTTGGGTTGAAAATCAAATAATGATTTTTTAATCACCAGCTGGAAAAGGGAGCACGTGAAAATAAGACTTCTTAGCTTGAAAGATCTCACCCAGTGCTAGATATTTGGCAAAAAGATTAAAGCAGCTCTGCAGAAAACAAAAACCTGAATGTCAGGAATTTGGTCTATGAATCCACCACTCAAAGCAATGTTCTTGTCACACATGCCACCTGGACCACAGGTCTTGAGTCATTTAGTCTTGAAGAACAAAACAGCAAGGAATGGAATGACATGCCTTTGGAGTCTGGGACTTCTCTGCAGGACCTTTATTTACAGAAACTGGTTTTAAATGATCCCAGATTAAACCCAACATCTCTGCCAACTTCAACAGCACTTTTTAATGACTTACACTGACTGAAGCAGCTGGCAGGACATCTTGTACTGCTTGGAGAATGGATGTT